GGCACATCTCTGCCCCCCTGGAAAGGTCAGGCTCGGACGGAGTCAGCGGAGCCGGCAGGGGATGGACAAAGGGCTGCGTCTCCCTGGTGCAGAGGGAATTTCTGGGTCCACGCCTGGTTGTCCCTGGGCCAGCCAGCTGGGGACCTGACCCCTTTAAGGTGGCCGGTGGGTGGGCCATTAGCTCCCCCAGGTTTTGTCCTGAGCATGGGGGCACCCCCCTGCCGTATTCCGAGAGGTGCCATGGGGTGTGGGCAGGCAGCTGCGATGGGGGGCTTCTGCCGCCTTGGAGGGCTCTGCTCCAGCGCCGGAGGAGGCAGGGGCAAACACCCGACCACATACGGGACGCGGATTTCTCCTCTCGCAAACTCCCTCCAATGGGCCGCCCCGAGGCTGTCGTGGGAGGACCCACCGAGCCCAGGCGGGTTGGGCCAAGGCTCAGCCGTCAGCCCCGTCCCAAAAACATTCCCGTCTTCCAGCCTGGAGGTCGCCGAGGGCTGAGCCGGGGGGCAGGCTGGGGAAGGCGGGGTAACCACCATACTCGGGAATTCTTCATAAGAACATCAGAACAGCCAGACTGGGTCAGATCAAAGGTCCATCCAGCCCAGTGGCCTGTCTGCCCACAGCGACCAATGCCCCAGAAGGAGTGAACACAACAGGGAATCCTCACATGATCCCTCCCCTGTCACCCATTTCCAGACAAACAGAGGCCAGGGACCCCATCCCTACCCATCCTGGCTAATAGCCATCGATGGACCCAACCTCCGTGAATCTCTCTAGCTCTTTTTTGAACCCTGTTCAAGTCCTGGCCTTCACCACATCCTCTAGCGAGGAGTTCCACAGGTTAACTGTGCGCTGAGTGAAGAAAAACGTCCTTTGGTTTGTTTTCAACCTGCGGCCTGTTCATGTCATTGGGTGACCCCTCGTTCTTATATGGTGGGAATAAGTCAACAACTTTTCCTTATTCACTTTTTCCACACTTCGCCTTGGCTAACCCCAGGGCCGGGCCCTCCCTTGGCCAGCCTGGATTTAGCCGGTCATGGATCCCGGCAGCCGACCAGGCATACTTTCCTCTACTCACCCTGCTGTCCCTCCCTTTGCAGGCCGGCTGTTGCTGACGACTTCTATGCCATGTCCTACCTCTACTACGGGGCTCTGGGAACGCTGTCCACCGTGGTGGTGGGGGTGCTAATCAGTTGCCTGACAGGTAAGGCCAGCGGCGAGGGGCAAGGCAGGGAAGTCCTGTGACCACCCAGCCAGTGGGCAGGGGTGCCAGACCTCGGGCGGGCCCCTGGCATCCCAGGGAGCTTGAGACTGGGGAGAGGGCAGGCAAGAAGGGGGCTGCCCCCAGGCATGGAGAGAGCTAAAGGAACTTCTCCTGGAGGCTAGCGGCGTGTGGAGGCCCCTGGGGTACGGGAGGGGAGCACGCTCCTGAGATGAAACTGTGTGCCTCAGTTTCCCCATCCATGACATGCTCCGGGGCCTGATCAGTGGGTGCCAGGGCTGGAGGGCGCCGGAGGTGGGCGAAGGGCTGGCGCAGGCCCTGCCCCTGTCAAGAGGGGGGACTTTGCCCATCTGCTTTTCCTTGTTTTTCGGTAGGTCCTACCAAGAGGAGCCAGATGCCCCGGGGGGTGCTCTGGTGGGACATTATGAAGCAGCCGCCCGCGTCGTCCCCAGAGGGCGGGAAGAGCCCCTATGAGGACAGTCTGACCAAGGTAACCGGGTCAGGGCGGGCAGGAAGTTTCCTTGACGCTGCTCCCTGGGTTTCTGACGGCCCAGTTCACAGCATGGCAGCTGGCGGGGCAGCCCTGGGCAAAACGGTGCTTCAGCGCAAGGCAGGGACCCTCCCCCGGCCTGC